CCCCCCCCCCGGCAGCCCAGGGACACAGGGAGCAAAGCCGCAGCAGCGGCGGGGTGCCGCGCCTCTGAGGCTTTGCTTTGGCAAAGCCTCAGGCGCGGGACTCCGCCACTGCTGCGGCTTTGCTCCCCGTGTCCCTGGTCCCTGGTCACTGCGGCTTTGCTCCCGGTGTCCCTGGTCCCTGGTCGCTGCGGCTTTGCTCCCGGTGTCCCTGGTCTGGCAAAGCATCAGAGGCGCGGGACCCCTCCGTCTCCCCGGCTTTGCTCCAGGTGTCCCTGATCTGCTGGAGACAGTCCCCAGCAGACCAGGGGCACCCGGAGCAGCTTTTCTCGCCCCGGAGGTGGCGGGACCGCTGCGCTCTGGGCGGTCCCGCTGCCTGCGAGCTCCGGGGCGAGAAAGCCCCGTTCGTAAGTGCGGATCCGACATAAGTCGGATCCGCGTAACTCGGGGACTGCCTGTATAGCCTTTTTCCACTTCTAGTGTAGTAACTTGAAGCCCAAGTCATTAGTGACCATCTTTCTCTAAGGAGTCTGCTTTCAGTCTGCATATATAATCATTTAGCCCAGGTCTTTACGAGAAAATTACTTTGAAATAACAAGCAGAGTGTCCACACTACAAAGCTCATTATTTCAAAATAAGGGACTGGTTATTTTGAAATAACGCCTCCTTTCCATAAGGAATAGGGCTTATTTCAAAATAGTTATTTTGAAGTAGCGTTAATGTGGACGCTCCACTGCTGCTATTTCAAAATAACTATTCCCCAGAGTCATTTAAAATAATTATTCTCCAGTGCTTCCGGGGGTTCTAAGTCAAGGTAGCGCATCCACATTAAGGATATGTCTACACTACAGAGAAGATTGAAGCTGCTGCTGCCAATCTTCCAGGGTTTGAATTAGCAGGTCTAGTTAAGGCAGCTAATTCAAACTGAGAGGGTGGATGCGATAGTCCTGCTTCCATGACGAGTAGGGGAAGTCAAAGGGAGAGTATTCTCCCTTCAACTTCCTGCAGTGTGGACAGCACGAAAAGTTGAGTTAAGGTATTTCGACTTCAGCTATGCAATTAACATAGCTGAAGTTGCGTATCTTAATATGACCCTATCCTGTAGTTTAAATATACCCTAAGGGAGCCTGCCTTGGACTCATTTCGAAGCTTCCCTGCGGTGTGGAGACGCTATTTCGAAATAGTTCTTTTAGGAGTTATTATTTCAAAATAACTTACTCTGAAATAATTTCTTAGTGTAGACATGCCCACAGTGTGTGCCATCTTCACACACAAACTGATACAGGATATTGTTGTCACTTTACTTGAGTTTTCACAACATCCTATTTTTTGTTTACTATTAGTTATGTAATCCCAGGATTTGCAAACCTTATTCTCTGTCCATTGACAGGAAATCCCAGCCATGTTGGTTCCCATAGATTCCCTCAACATTAAGCCCCAGTGTTTGACGTATGCTGATTTCTAAGACTCTCTGGCTATGTCTACACTGCAGGCTTTGTTCTTGCGCAAAAACTTGCAGATCGTCTACACTGCACGTGCGTTCTTGCACAAGTAAATTTACAGTACAGTGTTGAAAAACAGGGCCTTTTCCAGAAGATGTATCCCTCTCCCCACAAGGAATAAGTCCTCTTGCACAAAAGCTCTTCCACAAGAAGGCAGTGTAGACAGGCAACATTAATTTCTTGTGCAAGAAACCCCTATGGCTAAAATGGCCATCAGAGCTTTCTTGTGCAAGAGAGGATCCACACTGCCATGGACGCTCTTGCGCAAAAGCACATCTCTTGCATGTCGCAATTTGGTTCGGTGATGGGAGCCCCCTGGGGTTACAGCCGACTACCCAGTGAAAACTACTGGATGATGGTGAAACAAATTATTTTTTTATTAAACAGAATGGTTCTTTTATCAAAAATGAAGTGACTTTTAAATGAATTTTAAAACAAGCAATTGCCTAATGGTGGGGAAAACTGGTGCCTAAAAGGAGGGGAAAACTGAACCAAACTGCACTTAACTGATTACAAACGTTGTGATTATAATTCGATTATATTAAATCACTATCTCTAATTCACTTAAGGCAGCGCAGCATGCAAGCAAAAAATACAAAAACAAAGCCAATATAATGATAATAAAAACTCCGTTCACAGCCAGCCCCTCTATGGTTATTTTAGGGCAGCTGGTGGAGTTAGTCATTAATCTACCTCTACAACTTAACAACTCCTGGGTTTCTATTTCTAACACTTATACTTGGCCTAAATACAACACCACTACACAACACAAGATTATACAATTTACACAGTGTGGTTAATAGAACTCAGTTACACTCTACAGAATTACACAGTGAAATTAACACGATTCAACTATTAACTAAACCAATAACTAATATATTTAAGCAATACTTACAAATCCAGCAACGATAACAGCATAAAAACACACTAGAACTCGGAGCATGCTCAGAACTCATGCACCCCTATCTTTGACTCAAAAGGTGGGGAGGCAGCCTCAGGGTGATCAATCCTTCAGCCGGGCAAAAAGACACGTACCCTCAATACACAGAACCTCGCTGAACAAAGGGGTTGAGGGTCTTTTATAACATAACCTGATATCCGGTACCTTATTAGGGTCTGTTCCCTGGCCGGGCCTGACAGGCTGGTAATGAGGTAATGTGCAATAGTGCCCTATAGGTTTTTCATGATGACCGCTTGACGGCCCCGTGGACAGTGCCAGGTGCGGGCATGGTCAGTGTGCATGGCAGTTGCGTCTTATCTCCCTCTGCCTACCTCCTCACCTTCAAGGACTGGTCAAGAGAGTCTTATCCATCTCTTGCAGCTGTGCTCTTTCTTTTCATGGTCACCTCTCTGTTCTTTGATGCCTACAAGGTTAAATTCCGTTCACAGAAAGCTGCATTGTACACTTACAAGTTATGCTTTCTCAGAGTGTGTCAGCGGCCTACATTTTCTGTGAGGGGCCTTTGTGTGGCAGAATGGGTAGGGTGCACACGAGGCCATGGTCAAAAGGACCTGCTCTGCGACATTGCGCAAAAGCACATGGCAGTGTGGATGTGCTCTTGTGGAAAACCTTTTGCACAAGAACTCTTCCGCAAAACAGTTCTTGCGCAAGAAGCCTGCAGTATAGACGTAGCCCATGGGTACTGCAAAATGTTTGTATGTTGGCCTCTTATCACAAACAGACAGAATTGATATAATGTGAAACCTGAAGGGAAGAACTAAAAGCAATATAAAAAATGGGTTACTATCAGTCTTTATGTATATTGTGCTGATAAAGCATGATATGCAACCATACAGCCAAACAACATTTGGGAATGAGAATATTTCTGTCTTCTTTATGAAGTATATTATTGAGTATGCTAAATGTATCCACACAACTCGCATTTCTAGCTTTTTATTAAACATGAAATTAACTTGGGGAAGGACTTGTGATTTAAAACGGCTTTACAATTTTTTCTTACCTCAAAAAAAGGTGTTAGGTCTAAAATAGAGGAAACCTCTCTTCTTTTTAATAGATTCTTACTGGTTAAAAGTGTCATAATACTTCTGCATTCTGTATTGTTACCTTAGGAATCAGGTAATAGATTTTTGCACATGCTTGTACCACCAAACATATCTCAAATAACCCTGTTGGAAGGATTCATTTGGCAAGTTAGCTGGCAGACATTTAACGTGGACTGTGTCTCATGTGCCAGTCCAATGAACTTTCCTTGATGGGATTATACATTTTTTTTAATGTCAAAGGAAGTAATGGCACACCTCCGTAAAGCTATATCAGTGTGAAAATATTGCCATCTGGTAGAAACATTTCCTTAGCTGTAAAACAG